GTATGTTCCTCTGGATGATTTAAAATGACCTGTCTTTGTGTTCACTTATTTCTTCTTCTTGATTGAGTCTATTGTTGAAACTTTCTATTGAAATTTTCAGTACAATCTTTGTATTCTTCAGCTCCAAGAATTTCAATTGGGTTCTTTTTTGTGGTTTCTTTTTTTTTTTTAAGATTTTTATTTATTTATTTGATAGAGATACAGCAAGGGAAGGAACAAGCAGGGGGAGTGGGAGAGGGAGAAGCAGGCCTCCCACTGATCAGGGAGTCCGATGCGGGGCTCGATCCCAGGACCCTGGGATCATGATCTGAGCTGAAGGCAGATGCTTAATGACTGAGCCACGCAGGCGCCCCATTTTGTGGTTTCTATTACTTTGTGGAAGTTCTCATTTTGTTCATTTGTTGTTTCCCTGATCTCATTTGGCTGTCTCTCTGTGTTCTCTTGTACTTAACTGAGCTTTTTTAAGATGATTATTTTGAATTCTTTGTCAGGCAGTATATAGATTTCCATTTCTTTAGGGTTGGTTACTGGAGCTTATTTTGTTCCTATGGTGGTTGTATGTATAGCCTTGTGTTGGTGTCTGTACACTTGAAGAAGCAGTCACCTTTTCCAGTCCTTATAGACTTGCATTGTCAATGAAGCCCTATACAAGTCAGCCTGGCCAGGAACTATGGGTGAGCTGGTTGGCTGAGTCTGGGAGTGAATGGGCCCAGTGCTGGGTCTGCACTGAATTTGGATACTCACTTTGCTCTCTTTTTTGCTACAGGAGAATTTACGGGCTAAGGGAATCTCTTTTGGTGCTACACTGTGTGGGTTTGGGGAAAGGGTGATGAGGGTATAGTGAGACTGTTATTCTCACCCTTTTCCATATGTTTGTTTCTGTGCTCCACCAATGTACTTTAACCTCTCACCTGGATTCTGAAGCTTGTCTGAAGGTATTTTTATTCATGGGTGGTTGTTAAATTGGTGTTTCTGTGAAGGAACAAGGACTGAAACTTCATTTTTGCCATCTTGCTGACATCACTCCTGATTTCCCATTTACTTAGATCTTTAAAATCTTTCACTGAAATTTTCATTATACAAATCTTGTAGAAGTCTTGCAGTTTTCATTGTAGTCTTACACTCCTTCTGTTAAATTCATTTCTAAGAACTTTTTTGTTTTTGGATTGCTCAATGCTAATGTATGCAAATTCATTTGATATTAATATATTGGGATCATGTATCCTGTAAACTTGTTGCAGTCATTTATCAGTTCTGATGTTTTTGTCAGTTTCCTAAGAATTTTCTACATATAAGATCACATCATCTGCAGATATAGTTTTCCACTTCATTTCCAATCTGGATGACTTTTATTCTATGTCATTGTCTAATTGCCCTTCTAGGACCTTCAGTACAGTATTAACTATAGGTGGTAAGAATGGTGTAAGGATAAATACAAATTAAAAATAAGAGGCTTAATATTCCTCTAAAAATAAAGGAAGAGACATCTCTCTTTGTATTTTCTTTTGTAAACTTGTAAATTCTTTTTCTGCCCCTTTGAGAATGAACATAAATCTTCTTAAATGTCTCTTGGCAGTTTTACAACCTAGAATGTCTTTCTCAAGGGCCTCAGAACCATCTCTTTGAAATGTAAACTTCAAGGGACCTAGCACTTAGGTTTCCCAGTTTCTGTGAGAGGGTAGAAGCCTAACTTTGGTGGTGGGTGCCTTGATCCAAGTTGCAAAATTACCTCCTGTCATAAAGATATGAGAAGCTTGTTTTTTGTTTTTTTGTTTTTTTGTTTTACTTTTTGAAAAACCAATAAACTAACACAGCCAGTCATTCCAATTACCAGGTAAATTTAGGGCAAACAATGTGTGATAAATGATGCTCTCAAGTCCTCTTACTTGAGGGCTAGTTATTGTTTATCTTGACAACATGTATGTAATGGGTTGTATCTGCTTGGCTATAAAAAAGGGTGAGGGGTGCCTGAGTGGTTCAGTCGGTTAAGTGTCTGACTTTTTTTTTTTTAAAGATTTTATTTATTTATTTGACAGAGAGAGACACAGTGAGAGAGGGAACACAAGTGAGGGAGAGGGAGAAGCAGGCTTCCTGCTGAGCAGAGAGCCCAATGGGGGGCTCAATCCCAGGACCCCAGGATCATGACCTGAGCCGAAGGCAGATGTTTAACGACTGAGCCACCCAGGCGCCCCGCGTCTGACTCCTGATTTTGGCTTTGGTCATGATCTCAGGGTTGTGAGATCAAGCCCTGTGTCGGGCTTTGTGCTGAGTGTGGAGCCTGCTTAAGATTCTCTCTCTCCTTCTTCCTCTGCCCTTCCCCCCACTCACTCTCTCTCTCAAAAAAAAAGAGGGGGGGCGCCTGGGTGGCTCAGTTGGTTAAGCGACTGCCTTCGGCTCAGGTCATGATCCTGGAGTCCCGGGATCAAGTCCCGCATCGGGCTCCCTGCTCAGCAGGGGGTCTGCTTCTCCCTCTGCCCTCTTCCCTCTTGTGCTCTCTGTCTCTCATTCTCTCTCAAATAAATAAATAAAATCTTTAAAAAAAAAAAAAAAAGAGGGGGGGTACCAGAAAAAAAAAAGGCAGCTCTTTCTGCCCATGGGTCCTGTCTGCATGCTATGATAAAAACACCTTTTTGCACCAAAAAAAAAAAAAAAAAGGTGGGGGAGGTAAGATTTCTTTCTGTCTTTGGATTGTCTGTGATATGTATCATGTCATTCAATAATAAAGTTGTTTTCTTTGTCTTATGCCTGAGTGGATGTTTTCTAGGTTTGGAGAAGATTTTGTTTTTAATTATATTTCCTTAACAATTTTGGTGTTAAGGATGGGATGAGTCTGGCAATTCCTGACATGATCAGCTGAAGTTGTATGGTCATACACTAGTCAGATAAGAGACACTAAACTGTAAAATGTCCTCCTTCTAATGTTCTACTTTTTTGGAATACTAGCCAAACTAACCACCCTCTCCAAATTCAAGATTTTACTTTCACTTAATCACCATTAAGTATGATGTTAGCTTAGGTTTTTCATAAATGGCCTTTATTAAGCTCAAGAGGTTGAGGTAGTTCCATTCTATTTGCGGTTTGTTGTGTGTTGTATCATGAAAAGGTGCTGGATTTTGTTAAGAGTTTTGTTGAATGCTTTCCTGTGTCTATATGTAATTGCATGAGATAACAATATGAGTTTATTCTATTAGTTTGATGTTTTACTGTAATAATCCTTCTTGAGAGTCTGTAACTGATGATTTGGCATCTCAAAATCATCAAGCTGATGGTTAAAGTTGTTTATATTCAAACCATCTCTCTGTTTCCACAGGGGCACAGAAATCATATTACAAACCCTCCAACCACAAACCCTAAATCTGTTTTGTTTTCTGCCCAGTGGGGCACATCCTCACCTAAGAACTTCCTACACTATAGAAATAAAGGCTCTCATCCATGATTTTCTCTCACTTCTGTCTCTTCACTGACCTCGGTGCTTCCCTGGGTGGCCCTGCATGGTGTGGTGTGTTCTTTCCTCTTGAAAATTGTATATAATAAAGTTTTCCTTCAAAGGCAGTTATCTTCATGTCTGTCATCTTATCAGACCTGCTTATAACAAATCCTGGGTATATCTTGAGATAACTGGTACAGTGACCAGGGTGGTTCAGTGACAGACAGGGATGGCATGCCTCTAGAATGCTTTCAGCTTACTAACTGATTCCATGGACAGCGAATCCTGCCTGGGAGCACAATGCTGGATGCTGGCACACTTGTGCTTTAGTGGCCACCACACTGTGCGGTGTCTGTTGGGTTGCTCTGGTTACCCAGTTCAGTTGTGTTAGAGCTCAAGAAGAGAGATCATCTGCCTAGCTTAGGGTGCTGTAGTCTGGGCAGAGCAGTCCCCAGTTGGTCCCTGTGTGTTTGTGACAGACACACCTAGTCTGGATGAGGTCTCCAGGGTGCTTAGGGTAAGTGGCCACCATACTGAGCAGAGGTCCTCTAAAGGGACTGGAACAGTTACCCTTCCACCCTCACCTGCAAGGCAGGCTTGATCTGTTGACCCTCCAGGCCAATGTGCCCAGGGGCTGCTCCATTATTCGCCCTTATTTTCCTTGTATACAAAAGACGCACCAGCTTGCCTCATCAGGTAGTAGGAGACTGCCTGGCTAGGCATTCTTACACTGAAAGGACCTACTGAATATTGGTTTGGGGATGCCTGTCCCATGGAGACCACAGCTCCCCACAACTGTTATGTGGCTGCCGACTACTGCTATTGTGTGCCTTTGTGCTGTCAGTTTGACTCCAGACCCAGCAGATGTAAGATGGCCCGTCTCTGGAGATGAGCGGCTCAATGTTCGATGAAAAAGTTGAACAGAAAGGAATATCTAGTTCTGACTTTGCCCCAAGCCCTAAGGATGTGGCCTAATGAATAAAAAATTCTAAAATACTTTTTCAGTGTGTATGGGCTCTCTTAAGGGCTGCTGCTTATCAGCACACAAACAGTCTTCTACACAAAACATGTGAAAGCGAAAGCTGATCCCACTGTTGCTCTCTTGGACGTAAACCCCACACCCTTTGAGGTCAAGTGGGACACTCTTGAAAGGAAGGCCACTGCGGACCACCAGGAGTTTATCAGGGAAGCATCTAAAAGGGGGAAAAACATGATCAGGAACAGACGACAAAAACAAACAAAAGGAAGGAAGAAAGAAAGAAAGAATGAGTGAATTTATCCACCTAGAGATACAAATCATTCTAAAAGATTTTATTTAAGTGGGGAAAGGCTCTCATTATACTGCAGACAGGGCTAATCTCAGGTAGAAGCTCCTGCCTAAAGGCACAGAGTGCTCCCTCCTCCTCCTCTTTTTCTTTTAGCAAACACATAATCTAAAAACCATGGCTTCAGGCAGCTAAAAGCAAAAACAGAAAAAAGTAAAAAGAAACAAAAGCCCTAGTTAGAGGGGAGAAAATAAAACACAACTAAGTAAGTGGCACATATGATATTTTAATATAAATATATAGTAAATAAATTACATATGTGTATGTATAACTATTAAAACAGAGTCCCATGATTTGACCCAATTGAAAGTCCAAAATTTCTATACTAAAATGATTTATAAAATAAAAAGGGTGCTGATTTTCTTTTGAATATAGGTTCTAAATTAACTTTAGTATTTGCTAAAATGCACCAACTGACAAAACTTTGTGGACTTCATCAACACTGGGTCTCAAATTATTTGTTATACCTGGGGATGCTGCTAAATATAAGCATCGTATTTACTATAATATTAGGATATTAACCAAATTATAGAGGGGAAATAGGTATGTTTCACTTTCACTGTAGCCTTGCCTAAATTTTCCATAGTTGTTGTACCCATTGCCCTAAAATATCCCATATTAGGCATATTAGGCATAGATGCCCATAAAATCTTTGGGATTTACAAATTGGCTTGATAAAATGGGAACCTATGGACCCCAGTTAAAATCGTTAATATATCCTAATGTAAGCTAAAACAGGGCCTTAGAGGATTAAAACTCATTATATAAAACCTAATTAATAAAGGACTGATTATCCCCACTACTTTTTTGTGTGACATTCCAATTTTGCCTGTTCTTAAACCTGGAAAATATAAGGGATGCCTCATGATGAATCATGACAACCTGAATCCTGCGGTCCCATCCATTAGGGCCCCTGTATCAGTCTACTCAAGCTGTCATGACAAAAGAGCATAGGCTGGGTGGCTTAACCAACAGAAATTTATTATCTCACAGTTCTGGAGGCTGGAAAGTCCAAGATCAGGTCTGATAGGGTGCAGTCTCCAGTGAGGGCTCTCTTCTTGGCTGGCAGATAGCTGCCTTCTTGTTGTATCCTTTCGTGACTTTCTTGGGTGTTGGCATGTGGAGAGAAAAAGAGAAAGCTCACTGTCTGGTCTCTCTTCTTATAAGGTCACTAATCTTATTGGATCAGGACCCTACCCTTATGACCTCATTTAACTTTAATTACTTATTTCTTCAAATATAGCCACATTATGGATTAGGTTTTCAATATACATGTTTTGTGGGACACAAATATTCAGTCCATAACAGCCCTCACACTTACTATCCAATATTGTTAAAATTACTGATTCTATCCAATCAGCACCTAGTAAATGGTTTGCTCTTGTAGACTTGGCCAGCATGTTCTATTCAGTGCCTGTTTTAATAGTTTCTCAGTTGCAGTTTGCCTTCAGTTCCCAAGGGACACAACACACCTTTTTCAGACCACTCATAGCATACTTCAGTGGTTCTGCCGTCGTGCTCAGTCTTTGCAGACAAGATATTAACTGCATCACCCTTTCTCCAGGTGGCTGACGTTGCAGCACAGGTCTGACGTGACCTTGATGACATCCTCCTTCAAGGAGATTCTTTTGACATACTCATTGAAGACATACAAATCCAGTATCTTTTAGTCTTTTGGGGGGTTCTAGTGATGACATAGTCCTCATCTATAAATTTTGCTTCCTCTCACTGCTGCTGCTTCTTAACAAATCAACTCACTTCCAGTGGGGCTCTCTCCAGCCAAAAAACTCTAAAATCTGTCCATATTGAAATCAACCGCACTCTTGTGAATGCTCTCAGAAACTCCTTCACTAAAGAGACTTTGACAGTCTCATCTCATGCCTCCTAGAGTCTCTGGACCACTTATCATGGACATAAGTTAAGTTGCCCAAGAGCTTCTGATGGAAGAGACTGCACCTTTTAGCTTCATGCTATACACCATTAGAACAACAAATTACTGGCTATATCCTGGGGTATCTCAGAGATAAAGGCTCTCACAGACCCTAAGCCTATGGCCCTCCACACCCAGATGCCCATTATACTTGGGTCATGGAAACAAGACCTCACAAACTTCACCAGCTACCAATGCCTCTTTAATACAAGATGGAGCCAAACCTCGGATCTCTGGCATAATCCACCTGCAGTGGCATCCCCTGTCCTCAGTCCATTGCCAGATGCCATGGTGCTAGAGGAGGCCACCTCTCCTCAAGACCCCTGAGCTGCCTAGAGAGTCCCTTGGGATTAGCCAAACGAGCAATAGGAGTTTGTTGGCACTACCATTCATCATAAAAATGATATAACTCAGTGGGATATTGCTGTTTCCATCCCTTAGTCAGGAAGTCTTTGATAAAGGATGAGACCCCAAGGTCAACAAAATTGGCCAAACTTCAGGTTGTCATTTTAGCACTGGGTGCTTTTGCCAAAAAATGGTCCCATCTTCACATTTATCATGAACTACTGTGACATTGCTTAAGAGTTAACCCCATCAAAGTAAAGAACTCTGGGAATCTCCTGCCCCCAGATATTCAAAATATAAATATAAATTAAAAATATAAATCAAAATCCTACATCTCAGGGTCCCTGAGAGGTGTAGTCTTAAGCACTCTTGGTTTGGGGTCAGGTCTTGATCTCAAGGGTGTGAGATGGAGCCCCACATTGCGCTCTACAGTCAGTGTGGAGTCTGCTTAACTCTCTCCCTCTCCTTCTACCCCCCCAAAATAAATAAATAAACCTAAAAAAAAATCATACGTCTCTATACATACTAACACTATGATACAAGGATTTGCCAGGACATTCCTCTTTCCCTTCAAAGAACAAGACATTACTAGTAGTAACCAAAGCACACATTTTATTTCTCAAAATACACAATTCTGGACTCCTGGAAAAGGCATTCAATAGAGCTTCCATGTCACTGACATGTTCTGGATGGATGGTATACTGAGAGATGTAATTGTCTTCTCAAATAATTCCTCTTCAAATGCTGGTCCAGCAAATGGACCCCTAAATGGACTTCTAACTTACTCCTTGAGCAATTGGGTTGGAAAACTAGTGGGGCATATAATTGAAGGCAACCCTGGGGCAATGGTGTTGTGAGTTGGAGTTGACTGAAATTGAATATATCAGCAGAGTAAGCATGTAAGGTAGGGTACAGGCAATTGGAGACCAAATGACAAGTCTGGCAATTTCTGATTCCCACTGTGTGGGTAGCTTTATTGGCTAAATCAGTTTAACCAGAATCCTTCATCCTCCATAGCTGATCACTCTGGATATCTGATCAGTTTTTCATCCTCTACCATCCTCCAGGTGATGTCTGATCACCTTGGCCTGTCTTTAGCAAGATTCTTGTTAGGTTGGTTTAGCCTAAGTCCTCCTTAACCCTGATGTTTCCTCTTGGTAATTTTCCATCCACTAACCTCCACTCTGCTCCTTGACTATAAATTCCTACTGCCCATGCTGTATTTAGAATTGAGCCTGGTTGTATACTGAGATCCCTTTTTCCCTAATGCAATAGTCCCAAATAAAATCTGTTAGTTTGCTTGTTTGTTTTTGGCTTTACTGTCCAGCTTTGTTTTTTCCTTGACAAAACAATAATTTAGCCATATTTCAGTCAGTCAGTGCTATTCTGTTCTAGATAATCCCGCTTCAGATGTCAATGGTTTGGGGTTGACATCCTTGGGTTCAGTGATTTGCTAGGAAGTTTTACAGGACTCAGCATATAGTCCTACTCATAGCTAAAATTTACTCCAACAAAATCATCAAGGGGAAAGGCTCTTGGGGCAATGTCCAGAGGAAACCAGGCATAAGCTTCCAAGGGTTCTCTCCCTGTGGAGTCAACTAGGATGTGTTTAGTAACTCCAGCAATGAACTGTGATAGCACATGTGGAATGCTGTCTACCATGTAAGCTCATTAGAATCTCTGTGCTCATGGTTTTTATGGGGGGCTCGTTATGTAGGCACCTCCTGCCTGGCACATACTTAAAATTCCAGATTCTCAGAAGTACGTGTTCAGCATAAACCATATTGTTTGCACAAAGAAATTTAGGCACAGTAAGCCACTCTTACCAGGTAGACTGGCAGGAACACTTCAGAAGTCCAAGCCCCCAAGCCTTTTCAAAATCCAAGTTCCCAGATACTAGCCACAGGCCAGCCTTACAAGCAGGCCTTCTAAGGACAGCTGTCTCCATCCACTTAAATGGTAACACGACTTCAATTTATTTCTAGTTTGCAAGTTTGCAATGCTTTCAATGATTCAACCCCTGTTTGTGATTAGTTATGAGTTCCAACTTGTGACAGACACATTAATGCAGTCATGAGATTATCAATCATTTCAATTTTTGCAGTGGTTGCTATTATCTGTTTTTATCTGCATATATTTGAATCCTAAAATGCCAAAATGCACGTGTAAATTGTGTGATGAATTTTCTGAAAAGTGGACATTTATTAAGCAAGGAAAAGTTCCCTTTGAAGCTTTTTGTCCCTTATGGAAAAATGGTAGTCAGGTATGAACCAGCATATACTAACAGCTAAACATAAGAGATGTATTATTTTCTCAACTAGTACTATAGAAAGTGACAAAATAAATTTACTATTATGAGGAATTCAGATTGAGATAGTAATTTCAGCATAAGTTGAGTACCCTGTATGCTTTATATCATCATCAGTCTCTCAGCTCAAATAGACTGAACGTACTGCTGACAGAAGTGTTTTTCTGATTCTGAAGTTGCAATAAGAATTTCAGGTGCCAGGATGAAATCAACAACAAAAATAGTAGCTCCGCTTATCATTACAGAGATTATCAATGATCTAAATGCCCCACCTTTTGGGGCGCCTGGGTGGCTCAGTTGGTTAAGCGACTGCCTTCGGCTCAGGTCATGATCCTGGAGTCCCGGGATCGAGTCCCGCATCGAGTCCCGCATTGAGTCCCGCATCGAGTCCTGCATCGGGCTCCCTGCTCGGCAGGGAGTCTGCTCCTCCCTCTCATGCTCTCTGTATCTCATTCTCTCTGTCTCAAATAAATAAATAAAATCTTAAAAAAAAAAATAAATAAATAAAAATAAATGCCCCACCTTTTTTCAGCATAGCCATGGATTCAAGTCATTACAATGCAGAAAACAAATATTTTCCCTTTGCTTCTGTGCTGCTTTTGGTGGAAGTTAATACAAATTTTGGTGGATGTTTGCCTAAAGTTGCAGACATGTTTAGTCCAAGTTGAAACAAAGCATGAATGATTCTATGGAAGATGTTGGCTGTCCTGCTTATAATACCTGCTGTTCGAATAGCTTTTGATATTCTTTCTATCTATTTGAAGTGATTGTCATGAAATTGTTTCCTTACTTCGAATTTATGCTGTTTGGGTTGAGAGACAAAAGGATTTATGTGACTTTTGTTGGCATTCAGTATTCTTCACGTCTCTTGCATTCAGAAACCCACTGGTTCTCTTTAACAAACACAGTTGAGAGAGTTCTGTTTATATAAAGCACTGAAATAATATTTCAATTCTCAAGGAAAGGTCCCAATATTCTTGACTATTTTTTCTTGTTGTCTTTTTAAATAATCCATTGAGTGAAGCTAATTTGCTTATTTCTTGTTCATAGTTTTCAGTATCTTTTTAGCAACAGGATTATGGAAATTGAAAGAAAAACAAAAAGTATTATTAAATATTCCAGTGTTCAATGGAACTTGAAAGCATCAAAGGAAGAATTGATGAAATCTTCATAAGTGCCAAGCTTGTTCTTAAAAGGGAAAAACATTACTTATAAATAGGAAAATAAATTGACTTGTGGATAATCATTATTGTACTTTCCATGACTGTCTTTTGAAATGAGTTCCATCTCTTGTAGAATTTGATTTTTTTTACATAAATGTTACTAAATGCTTTTCCAGTATGGGAACAAGTGAATTATCATGTGTAAGGTCAAAGAGGAAGGGAAAAATTGGCAAAAAAAAAAAAAAAATGTTCTCTTTTTGTCAGTAAACAACTTTTTAAAAAGTCACTAATCAAGAGATCCAACGTAATTTTGAAGAATGGGAAAGGCATGTTATGCCATAAAAGATATTATGTATTTCAACAAATCAAAATTTGAAGAGCAATTCCCAGTGCTAACTTCATGCCAGGATAACCACTCATAATGCTAAATTCATCAATGAATGTCCAGAAGGACAAAGAACGAAGTGAGAGAGATACGACTACTATTTATGTTACAATGTAAACGGAACACAGACTGCCTCTGGAAGAAATTCTGCAAGTGCATTCAGCAAAACAACGAACTGCTAGGAGAGCCAATCCATCAGGGAAATATAATTAATGAAACAGGTATGTATTTAGATACTTAGAATTATTTCGGAGTAACAACGAATACTGTAGTATCAGTATGTCTCCTGCTTTTACCTTATTTGCTAAATCGAGCAGTTCTGCCCAACTTCCCCAAAGTCTGAAGGCTGGTTTCCAGCGACGTGGCGCCGGGGATTTGGGAAACAGCGCGCGCCGTGGAAGCGGACGCGGGAGTCGCTGCGGGACTTCTGCGCATGTGCCCTGCGCCGCTCCCGTCTAGTTCGCGTCGGCGGCTGAGGCCTCGCGAGAAGACGGTCCCGGATGCTCCAGAGGCTGACGGCCCGGCCGGGGAGCCCCGGGGGGTTGGGCGTGGGTGGCCCTTTAACTGGGGGCTCCGCGCGGGAGGGGCGCGTGACGGAGTCGGCCTTGGGGCCTGAGCTCGGGGTGAGTTCTGCTACGTCTTATGCATCGAATGCGAACCAGCACGTCCCAGCGCTTGTTACCGAGCGAAACTTGGTGTTTTCATCTCCGACGTGAGGGGTCGGCCGAGGCCTCGGTAAGACCGGCGGAAACCGGCCTTGGGGCGCTCGTGGCCTGGCGCTTCTCTCTTGGGGAGGGGGAACTTCGTTCTTCTCCACTCACGGTCCCTCTTCGTCCTCCCAGCCACCTGTGGTCAGTGTCGCGTTCCCATGGCAACCGCGTACCGGGCTCAGGGAGGTGACAGAGACCCAGGTGGCGAACGAGCAGGGGGGAGATGCCCTGCCTCATCCTCTATCCCGCATCAAACCTGGGCTTGAGGCAGACCCAGCAGCTGGCCGCCGCTGCAGGAGTCCTGACCTTGTTCCTGGAGAACCTATGAGCCTGAAACCTGAGTGGAGCATCCAGATCCCGCTGACACCCTGCAGCTTGCCTGTGTCCTCAGTAGCAGCAGTTTGCGTTTACAGAAGGTCCAGCTTGTGATTCAGGGTGACAGGAAGGTCCAAGAGCTTTAGATCTTGGATGGGGATTCTAACTGGCTATGCCCTTAGAATGTTCCTGGAACAAGGCAGCTCCTGTGAGGGAGGAAGAGGGATCCCAGGAGCAGGGACCACTCCTAGGACGCCAGTCAGTTGGCCCCAGACCTCAGTAGAGATAGGTGGAAAGGGCAAAGACTCTTGCTCAGCCAGAAGCAGTTTGGGTCCTCTCGCCGGAACCACGGTCATAACCAGATTCTCGAAGACTGGGGTGATGGTGGACGTTGTGGGCCAGCTTTCAGGAGGACTGTCAGCTGTGGCTGGGAGGGGAGGGGAGGGCAAAAGGAACAGAAGGTACTGCTTGTTGGGGAGCTGTGAGGCATCATGTGGAAAGAAAGGCTTACCAGCCACAGAGAAGGAAACTACCTCCTTCGTCCCTTCATCTTTTCTCCACTCCCAGATTCTGAGCGGCTCGCTTAGTACAGAACAACTAGCCCTATGCTAATGCCCCCTCTGATAGAATCCGAGATGGTACTGCAGGAAGGGTCCTTAAGTCTTACCTATTTGTGCTCTGCTTAAAGATGGGAGTGGGATAGGGTGGGAAGGAAATGGGTCTTCTTTCACTTAACTTACCTGCTCCTAGTCACACATTTTGTTGTGGCAGAAACAAGAGCAGACATGGAATCTTTTGATGGCCCAGGCAGGTGTTTTCTGCTTTAACAACAGATAAGTCAGAACCCGTTTGTTGTTTTTATTTATTTATTTATTTATTTTTAATTTATTTGACAGAAAGACAGCGAGAGAGGGAACACAAGCAGGGGGAGTGGGAGAGGGAGAAGCAGGCCTCCTGCTGAGCAGGGAGCCGGATGCGGGGCTCGATCCCAGGACCCTGGGATCATGACCTGAGCCGAAGGCAGACGCTCAACCGACTGAGCCACCCAGGCACCCCTCGGGTTTTTTTTGTTTTTGTTTTGTTTTTGTTTTTGTTTTTGAAAGAGAATGAGAGAAAGAGAGAGCGCATATGAGAGGGGGGAGGGTCAGAGGGAGAAGCAGACCCCCTACTGAGCAAGGAGCAGGATGCGGATGCACGGCTCGGATGCGGGGCTTGACCCCGGGACTCCAGGATCATGACCTGAGCCGAAGGCAGTTGCTTAACCAACTGAGCCACCCAGGCGCCCCTGTTGTTTTTAATCAAAAGATATGTTTGAGATACCTGAACTGAGTTAAAGCAAACTCTTTTTTTTTTTTTTCCTTTGAAAAAAGACCAGCCCTTAAAAACCCCATCCCTTTTTTCAGAACCTAGTGGGATTCTCTGGTTTATAATGAACATTATAACTTGATATATTTTTGCTCAGCATCAGTTTTAATGAAAGCGTTATGTTCCATTCCTTGGCTTTTCCTAATTTGTTTATTTAGTGTACTGTGTTGCTTACATTTTTCTGTTTTAAAGCATACATTGTTAGTAAATCAGGAGAAAACAAACATTTTTTAAAGATTTTATTTTTAAGTAATTTCTACATCCAACATGGGGCTCGAACCTACAACCCCGAGATCAAGAGTCGCTCGCCCCACCAGTTGAGCCAGCCAGATGCAAATGTTTTTACATTTAAAAATTAGTATGTCTGAGCACTCCGGAATTGTGCATGGGCTGCTCCCTCCTGTCATCCTTTCTGTCCCTTCTCAAGGCATCTCCACTTCGGAGGTGTTTTGCCAGCAGCTATGTGGAGTTTTTCAGGCTGGCGGCATATCTCATGTTGGTTCTTTCCTTCTCAGCTGTACCCTCATGGTTATCCACACTCTTCCAGGGCCAGCAGAAAATGATCACATCCCAGGTGAGTTGTTCATTTATTCACAGTTTTGCCTAACAGTGATTATGTGAGGTTCATAAAATGTACCTTCATGTAAAATAGTAGAAATGAATACGTTAACATCAGGGAAAATGCAGAGCACAGGTCAACAAATTACAGTACATGGGCCAAATACAGCCTGCTGCTTATTTTTCTATGGCCCACAAACTAAGAACTTTTAGGTGGTTGAGAAACAAATCAAGAGTAGTATTTTGTGATGGGAAATTATATGGAATTCAGATTTCAGTGTCTATAAAATTTTATTGGGACATAGCCATGCTCGTTCATTTGTGGTTGTGGCTGCTTTCATATCATAGGGGTTGAGTTGAGTGGTTGTGACAGAGACCGTGTGGCTTGGCAAGCCTAAGATATTTATTATGTGGCCATTTACTGAAAATGTTTACAGGTTGCTGACATCCGATATAGTAGGGCAAAGATGCCTTGTAGATAAATGCACATCTTGTGATCTTACTGAGTTTTGAAACTGGAACGTAAAAACCTTTTTTGATAAGCCTCATTTGGTGGCATTATGTACCTTCCAGTGACAGTCCTGTAATTACACATAAAGAAGTGGTAGGCATAGAATACTTCTCGTGAACCGTGCCAGCATTAGGACTCACAGTTGTTTAAAGAAGGAGCAGGTTTGGGCAGACCACAGTGATTAGTGGTAGTCAGTAGGATGAGATAGGCTTTGTGACAGCCCTGGGGACTAGGCAGAATCTACATTTTTGCAGTCTGGTGAGGGATTCCACTCTTTCAATTGTGGTAAAATACATATAACGTGAAATTTGCATTTGAACCCTTTTAAAGTGTAGAATTCAGTTGCACTTAATACGTTCACAATGTTGTACAACCATAGCCACCCTCTCCTTCCAGAATAGTTTCGTCACACCAAAAGGAAACCCCATACCTTTAATGAGCAGTGCCATGACTTAATGAGCAAATTACTCCCCAGTCTCCCCAGCTCCTAGCAACCACTAACCTGCTTTCTGTTTATGGATTTGTCTATTCTGGATATCTCATATAAATGGAATAATACAATATGTGGTCTTTAATGTGTGGCTTCTTTGACTTACCTTAATGTTTTGAAAACCCATCCATGTCGTAGCATGTACCACTACTTCTTTTTATGACTGAATGATATTCCACTGATGTATAGTCCACCTTTTGTGTATCTATCAGTTGATGGGCATTTGGAGTGATTCCATGTTTGGCTGTTGAGAACAGTGCTGCTATGAGCATTCATGTACAAGTTTTTGTTTGAAGACCTATTTCACTTCTTTCCTGGGAGTAAAACTGATGGGTCATCCTACATTTAACTTACTATGAAACCACCAAACTATGCTCTACAGCAAGGTCCCTTGCAAGTCCGTATGAATTTTAGGTTAGCCTTTCTATTTCTGCAAAGAAAAGGCTGTTGAGATTTTGGTGAGGATTGCATTGAATCTGTGCATCACTTTGGGGAATATTGACATTTTAACAATATTAGGTTTTACAATCCGTGAACGTGAGATGTTTTTCCACTCTCTTAGGTCTTCTTTAATTTCTTTCAGCAATGTTTTGTAGTTTTTGGTGTGCAAATCTTACATATCCTTGCTCAGATTTATTCTTAAGTATTGTATTCTTTTATTTATTTTTATTTTTTTCAAGTCTGAGACCGGGAGAAGGCTGTTTTATTCCTTTTTTTTTTTTCTATTAACATGTAATGTATTATTTGTTTCAGGGGTACAGGTCTGTGATTCATCAGTCTTACACAATTCACAGCACTCACCATAGCACATACCCTCCCCAATGTCCATCACCCAGCCACCCCATCCCTCCCACCCCACCCCCCACTCCAGCAACCCTGTTTGTTTCCTGAGCTTAAGAGTCTCTTATGGTTTGTCTCCCTCTCTGTTTTCATCTTGTTTCATTTTTCCCTCCCTTCTGCTATGATCCTGTCTTGTTTCTCAAATTCCTCATATCAGTGAGGTCATAAGATAATTGTCTTTCTCTGATTGACTTACTTCGCTTTGCATATACCCTCTAGTTCCATCCATGTTGTTGCAAATGGCAAGATTTCTTCGATGGCTGCATGATATTCGTTGTATATATATACCACATCTTCTTTACCCCTTCATCTGTTGATGGCCACTCTGGAAAACAGTATGGAGGTTCCTCAAAAAGTTGAAAATAGAGCTACCCTATGACCCAGCAATTGCACTACTGGGTATTTACCCCAAAGATACAAATGTAGTGATCCGAAGGGGCATATGCACCCCAGTGTTTATAGCAGCAATGTCCACAATAGCCAAACTATGGAAAGAGCCCACATGTATTTTCCTTTTAGATGCTATTGTAAATGAAACTGTTTTCTTAATACAACTCTAATTAATTTCTCTTTTAACTTAGTTGAAAGCAAATCACTGAAAACCACTTGACTTGTAAAAGGAGATGTTATCCATTCTCACT